TGGTGTTACATTGAATTAAATTGTATAGATTTTACAAGTTTTCTTGTTTAGTAATTTCATATCTAGGACTTGTTCTTTATTTATTTTTAGAGACAGGGTCTGGCTATGTTGCCCAGGCTGGTCTCAGACTCCTGGGCTCTGGCAGTCTCCTGCCTCTGCCTCCAGTGACAGCATATTCCTGTGGTATAATATGAACAGCAATGACCATGGCAGCTCCCACACTTTTAAACCTCCTTTCCTCTCAAGCACTGGTAACTCTGTGCTCTCCCCTATCATTGAGATTCTCATGATCTCTCATTGTCTAATGCTCCTTTTTGAAATACTTGAATGCGTTTCTTTCCATAGTTTTTAATTTTCCAAGCCATTTTTATTTATTTGGCTTTTATTGAACACCTGTAACCTATCAGCCTTATCAACGTTGTGATAAGACGTAGTTGTAGCTGGGTAAAGTAAGTGTCCAGTAGCAGTGGGGAGGGGAAAACGAGACGAAGCCCCCGGGTGGGGCTAGAGTTGGGTTTTGATGGATGAGAAGCAGTTTCACAGACCATGAACTGAGAGGACAGGAAATTTCTGAGCACGGAGGGAGAACGAACTGAGGCGTGGAGCTATTAACATGTCTCTGTACATAAATCAACTTATTTCCGATAACTTGCACCTTCGGTTTGTTCCAATGTACTTTTGCTTTTTCATTCCTTGCTTTTGAAGTAGGAATTTGAAGTAATTGCTGACAGTGTTCTTCATGGCCTGGGTCAGTGCAAATCATTTTTGCTTCATTATTTAAAGATAAACTGGAGCTGGGCACTTTGAACTGAGCCAGCTTCTCGTGTTCTTAACCGTGTGATTCACGCGTGCCTGCCAGGGCCGAATGTCCTGTTAACGGTGAGGTCTGTCTGTGTTCTGTCTAGATTAAGTTTGACAGTGTGGAGGTGTGTGTCTGCTGTGAGCTGCAGCACCAGTCGACCGGCTGCAGCAACCTCGGGGAGACGCTGAAGCTGAACCCACTGCAGGAGAGCTGCAACGCTGTGAGGCTGACCTTGAAGGTGACCCCGGCACTCACATGCATGCCTTCACCCCATGCCTGACGCCCGCCGTTAGGAAGACTTATTAGCATGCACATTCCTTTTGGCTCTTAATTCCTGGAGGTAGTTTCATAGAAGAGGAAGTATCTTTCTGAAGAAGGTTTTAAAGGATTATAGATTTTCATTTTGAACTGTGTTACTTTCTGGCTCTTCTTTCTTATTTTTACCTTTTCTTTGTCCGACCTCTAACATACATAAAGGAGGAGATGAAGGGTTGGAAGAGGTCTTTACCAAAGGAGATGTGATGCATTTGATTGCTTTTCTAACATTTTTGGCTGTTACACCACCAGGGAACAGACGCATATTTATTTTACCTTTTTAAAGATATGGGAAAAAGTTTTACAGCCTTCCCGTGACAGTCTATTCTCATGGATAGCATCTGATCTTAAAAAAAAAAAATGACATGAGAAAATTGTTTATTTTATTTTTCTTGTCCTTCCTACAAGTGTTTTTTTATTCTTAAACCCCAAAATTGGCTGCTTAAAAATACATATATTTAAGGATAGTGAGCCCAGTTCTCCTTCCCTTGAATGAAACTGTGTAAGAACTTTTGGAAAGATATATAACGGTCAAAGGAACTATTGGTTGGTGGTAAAATTGCATTTGCACCATGCAGGGAGCTCTAGCACGCGTCTGGAAACATGGTATGGAGGAGACTGGAGGCTACAGAGAGCCACCGTGAACCTGGGGAGAAGGGAGGGAAATACTGCACTCTGGGGTCGAGGGCCTGTGGTCAGTGTCCCATGGGTGGGCACCTGATCTACAGGGCAGGCCGGTCCTGGGTCCTCGGCTCCTGTGGAGAAACGGTCCCAATTGAGAGATCTGAGCAGCCCTCCAGAGTGACAGACCCATCCCTGCCACACTCAGGCCCATCTATCAGGCTACTAGGCATTTCTTGCTGCCATACGTTACACACGACCACATTTCTACCTCACGGTATCCTGGGGCCCATTCAAGATCATTGCCTAAAGTCTGCCGTGGCCTTTCATCGCCCTCCTGGGAGGAGACATGGGCAGCTGTCACTGACTCTGAGACCTCATTTTGACAACACCTAAATCACCTCTTCAACCCTGGCTCGTTTTCCTCCTGTATTTACCAAACATAGCAATGCAGTAGGGACCCATCATTACAGTGAAGTCCCCTGCCCTGCCCCAGAGAGCTGACAAACACCCAGAAGAACCCAGAGGCCACGTGAGTGGGCACAGTGAGGCCTGTAAGTCACCTCCCACTGCCCGGCTGGTGGGTTGGTGTACTCGGCCTGTTCCACAAAGGCCTCGGAGTTCTCCTTGATACCTCTGCTCAGCGGAACACAGAACCCCATGTTCGTGACCTCCAGCTCCTGAGGAGCGGACTGTGGCTGGAAAGATAATGCTGGTGTTGGAAAACAGCAGCATTATCTCTGAGAATGTGGACTCAGGCCTAAGGTTAGCTGGAGACCTTGCAGCCTCACCTGCA